TGTAATTTTATTGAGTATTTTACAGAATCTTAGTATTTGCAGGGACCTCCAAGTCCATGTAGTCTAGCTCATATCTGAGCAGGAATCTCGTTTAGACCATCCAAATAGAGGTCATCAGGCCTCTTCTTGATGAGGAAATTCTATATCTTAAGGCCATGCATACCCATTGTGGATAGCTCCAAGTGTGAGGGAGTGGATTCCAGAGCGTGCAACTCTATCACTGGTAGAAATTATAGGTAAAGAGATTTCCACTAAACATAAGGAAGAGCTTCTTGATAGTTAGAGTTTTCTAAAAAAAAAAAAAAAGGACTACCTTGAGGTAATTACTAGAGATGCTTAAGCAGAGATTTATGAGCACTTTGGGGGATTATTTGGGGGATAATTCTGCTGATTAAATTACAAAAAGATGATGGTAGTTGACTCCAAACTCATACTCCCTCCATCTTTGAGATCCCTGAGGGCAGAAAGCTATTTCTTTAACTTGTCCACAGTTGATAGTAACAATAATAATTATAGTTAACATTGATATAGCGCCTACAATGTGCCAGACGCTGTTCTAAGCACTTGACTTATTTGATTCTCGCAACAACTGTGGAAGACAGGTGCTAATATTATGTAGTACGAATTTTGCACATACCAAATGATCAGCAGAGCAGGGACAAGGCACTGATGTGCTCTAGATGAAGGTTTGTTTCCCCTGCTCCTCATGAAAGTATCAAAACACACTGATTTGAATTCTTAGAATTCTTAATTCTTCAATTTTAATTCATAGAAGAAGAGTTGCTTACTACAGAGTCTGAGTTGGCTATAACACCTGTGCCTTGCTTTATCATAAAACAAATACCTATGGATCAGGGAGAATGGAATTTTTTGATAGTAAAAATGTGTCATCTGTTGGTGGAGTTGTGAACTGATCCAACCATTCAGGAGAACAATTTGGAACTATGCCCAAAGGGCTATAAAACTGTGATTACCCTTTGATCCAGCAATACCACTGTTAGGTCTATTTCCCAAAGACATAAGAAGAAAAGAAAAGAAAAGAAAAAGAAAAAAGGGAAAAGGACCTATTTGTACAAAAATATTTAGGAGCAACTTTTTTTGTGGTGGCTAAGAATTGGAAATCAAAGGGATGTCCATCAATTGGAGAATGGCTAAACAAGTTGTGATATGTGAATGTAATGGAACATTATTGTGCTATAAGAAATTATAAACAGGATGATTTCAGAAAAACCTGGAAAGACTTACATGAACTGATGCAAAGTGAACCAGGAGAATGGTATACACAGTAACAGCAATATTGTTAGATAAAGAATTGTGAATGACTTAGCTATTCTCAGCAATACAATGGTCGCATACTATCTGCCTCCAGAGAGAGAATTGATATTACTTGAATACAGATTAAAGCAAGCTATTTTTCACTTTCTTTCTTTCATCATTTTTTAAAAATTCAAATCTTCTTGTACAAAATGACTAATATGGAAATGTTTTACACGATTGCATGTATATAACCTATATCTGATTGCTTACCATCTCTGGGAGGAGGGAGAAGGACAGAAGGGGGGTAGAATTTGAAACTCAAAACTTTAAAAAATCCAAATGTTAGAAATTATTTTAACATGTAATTAGCATAATGTTACCAAATTATTTTAAACATGTGATTAGGGAAAAAAATACATTTTAAAAAAAGTGTTATATTAAAAAGTGTCCCTTATTGCCGCTTCCCCTATTGTGCCCTGGGCCACCTCCTTCCTTGACAAGCCCTAGTTCTAGCTGTGGGGCACAGTGGTTGCCTGCCAGGATTACTGACTTCTCTGGCTCTCCTTTGGCTGGCGTCTGGTATCCCCTTTCTCCCTGCTTTTTCAACTCAGCCATGAAAGGTCCACATGAAAGGAAACTGAGCCTCAGGAAATACATGAGATCAGAAGGGAATTAGCAATGGACAATTAGGGAGGAGTGCTGTTGTGAGAAATCCAAGGGGGTGATTCTAACCCAGCACTTAGCTATTTTAGAGCCTGGGAAAAACAGTGGGGAAAGAAGCTGGGCCAAGAGGGATAAGCATTTAGTTTCTCATTGAGTCTCTAAATGACCATCTTGAAGGCTGCAATTTCTAGTGTGGGAGGACTGGTCTTTAACTGATGGCACCGACGAATGGTTGAGGAGATGGCTAAGAAAAGGGAGGCGGATAGAGTGAGAGGGAGAGCGCTTACGGGACCTGCCTGGCATCTCCACATTTACAGATGGAGATATTGATTCAAAGTTCCCTTTTTTTGTTCTTTTTCCTCATTGCCAGGTTCCTCTCCACTGTCCCATGCTTCAGACCCCAGAGCCTTTCCCTATGAAACTTGCTCAGAAGAAAGTAGTTGCTAAGTAATTTACATCTTAGTATGAATTAAAGTTGAAGTCTTTACATCCCAAGGGTTTTTTGAATTTTTAACTCCTATTGCTTACTTTGAAGTGAAGGACCTTGACCTTTATAAAAGGAATGTTAGATTTCAACTAGAAAAACCTGAAAGTTTTTATTTGAGTTGGCCGGGGGTGGGGTCTTCCCAGTGCCCCTGAATGCCTCATAAGCAGTTGTCTACCTTGCAGAAAACCAAGTATTAATTCCCAAGCTCAAAATTCCCATTTATTCAGTTGTGCTCTTCTTCAATGACCCCATTTGGGGTTTTCTTGCCAAAGATATTGCTGCTGTTCCCTTCTCCAGCTCATTTTACAGATGAGGGAACTGAGGCAAACAGGGTTAAATGACTTGCCCAGGGTCACACATCTAGTAAGTTTCTGAAGCCAGATTTGAACTCAGGAAGACTCATCTTCCTGACTCCAGGCCCTTTTCTCTATCTACTGTGCCATGTAGCTGCCTCAAACTCCTAGTGTCCATGTGCTGGAAGAATTTGGAGCCAGAGGACCTGAGTTAAAATCTTAGCTCTTACTTACTAGCTATGGCCAAGCTATTTTCCCTCTTTATTTGTAAAATGTGTGTGGTTTGTGTGTGGGTGTGTTTTAGGCAATTGGGATTAAGTGACTTGCCCAGGGTCATACAGCTAGTAAGTGTCAAGTGTTTGGTCTGAGGCCAGATTTGAACTCAGGTCCTCCTGACTTCAGGGTCAGTGCTCTATCCACTGTGCCACCTAGCTGCCCCTCTTATTTCTAAAACGGAGAAAATACTAGCACATCCCTTCCAGGGTTGTTGTGAGAATCCAATGAGATAATATTTGTAGAGGGCTTTGCAAACCTTAAAGTGCTAGATAAATGACAGTTATCTTATTAATTATTATTATTATTATTATTATTATTATTATTATTATTATTATGGGTAGCTAGGTGGCTGGTACAGTGGATAGAGTGCCAAGCCTAGAGACAGGAAGGCTCATCTTCATGAGTTCAAATCTGGCCTCAGATACTTTCTAGCTGTGTTACCCTGGGCAAGTCACTTAATCCTGTTTGCCTTAGTTCCTCATCTGTAAAATGAGCTGGAGAAGGAAATGGCAAACCACTCAGTATCTTTGCCAAGAAAAACCCAAACGGGGTCATAAAGAATCAGGCATGACAGAAATGACTGAATGACAACAAAAATGTTGGATTAAAAGGTTTGTTAAAGAATTGATGGAAAGAGTAAAATCAGATCCAAACTTTGTGACAGTCAAGTTTACCTAGAAATGAAGTCGGAGTAGTATAGTAGAGTTCAAGGCTTGGGGTCAGGAACACCTGGGTTCTAGTCCTACCTCAAATGCTATTTGGCTGTGTTATCTTGGGCAAATCACTTAATTTCTCTGATCAGGCAACTCCCTAGGAGTGCCTATTAAATCATAGACTGATAGGACCTCTGACCCTTCTGTGCTTTCTCTTCCTACCACCCAACATAGGTCATTCCCACACTGGGAGTTTCCCACCATGATTTTTCTTATTAAGAGGAGAAGGGTCCCTATAGCCTCCAGGATTCAATACAAAGTCCTCTGTCATTCCTCTGTCATATCACCCTTCACAACTAGCCCCCTTCCTTCTTTCCAGTCTCCTTCCTCATCTTTGTCTTCCAGCTTCCCTGGCTTCCTTTAAGTCCCACCAAGTTTTTTTTTTTACTTAAGGCAATTGCATTAAGTGACTTGCCCAGGGTCACACAGCTAGTAAGTGTCAAGTGTTTGGTCTGAGGCCAGATTTGAACTCAGGTACTCCTGACTTGAGGGCCAGTGCTCTGTCCACTGGGCCACCTAGCCGCCCTCAAAATTTTTATAGAAAGGTTTCAACTCTTTGTAATTCTAGTGCCTTTTCTCTTTTAATGATTTCCTAGCTACCCTTTGCTTATGCTTTCCCTCCTTAGGTTATGAGCTCCTTGAGACCAGGGGCTTCTTTTGCCTCTTTCTATATATCCCCAGGGCTTAGCACAGTGCCTGACACATAGCAGGTGCTTAATAAATGTTTATTGGTTGATTGATTGGCTATTAACTATGTCTGAAGAACACGCAGCTCCTCTGCCCTCACCTTCTCCTACCCCTCCCTGGGTTCAGACAAAAACTTGCCAGTGAATTTGTGAAGAAAATGAGGAATTTAGAAGACATGACCCCAGCTTCTCCTGGAAACAAAGGGCCTTCTTTTTTTTAATAGTTATTCACATGTTGTCTCACCCCATTGGAATGTATACTCACTGAGATCAGGGGCTGTTTTTGCCTTTCTTTGTACCCCCTAGAACTTAGCACAGTGCCTGGCACATGATAAGCACTTAATAAATGCTAGTTAACTAATACCAACAGTCTTCTGGTGTATGATTATGTGACTGTGAGAAATGGAATACTGCGGTCTCCAAAGACTTAAAAATGAACATCACCCAGAGGGCAATAGTGGATGCCTGGTGGGAGTGAGCAGGTGAGGACTATCATAGAAACCAGGTGTAGGAGATGTCATCAGGAGGGTGGATGACAGGAGAAAAGTAATGAGTCACCTGGCAAAGGGAAAGGATGACAGGTGGACAGCCCAAGTACTCTCTTCTAGCATTCTCATGATGCCAGGAGAAAGTGAGGAAGGCCTCTCACATGCTGATTGGACACCCTGTGGATTCCTCATGGTAGAACTTGGTCAAGAGTCACAGAGGTAAGGGCCAGCTAGATAGCACAGTGGATAGAGCTCTGGATTTGGAGTCAGGAAGACCTGAGTTCAAATGTGACCTCAGACACTTGACACTTACCAGCTATGTGACCCTAGGCAAGTGATATAACCCAGATTGTCTCACAAAAAAAAAAAAAGAGTCACAGAGGTTGGATAGGATGGGATCTGAAAGGGTGGAGCGAGCTACTTAGCAGATGAGATTACAGATCCGTTCCAGTTGGTTTTTAGTATTGACAGAGATCCGTTTAGATCAGGGGTTCTTAACCTCAGGTCCATGATTTCAGTGAATAAACTTGAAGGGGGGAAAAAAGTTACATTTTTATGTGACCTCTAACTGAAATTTAGCATTTCCTTTAGTTATGTATTTAAAACAACATTGTTCTGAGCCTTCTCAGAAGGTGCATAGGCATCATCACTCTGCTGAAGGGGCCCAGCATGCAAAAAAAGTTAAGAACCCATGGTCTAGATTATTTTTTTTTCACCAGGATAAGAATCTTGTTGTTATACCTGTAGAAGAATCCCTTCACATGTCAGTCATTTCTGAGAACCCTGGCTCTTTTGCTATGCCCGGAAGAAGAAAAGGAGAAAACAATAACAACAGAAAATGCCATTCTTCTCCCCTTTCATACTGGCCCTGACCATCTGTCTTGCTAAAGTGGACCCTGATGGCATTGAAGGGGCTAAGATCTCTTTGCCAAGGCAGAAGAAAGCCCTAAAAGTGAGTGGCTGGGATTAAGACAGAGACCTAGGAGGATGGGGGCAGGGTGCCTGGGGCTAGTTACAGGTTGCCTCCCAAGCATTATCATGACTCAAGAGCCCCACTGAACTCTTTCCTAGTCTCCATGTCTTCAGCATTGCCCTCTAGGTCCTGGGAACATCTTAGGTCTTAAGTCTTAGGGTCTTAGGCAATGAGGCATCACTGTTGGACTTGCTGGGTTACAGAACAGCTGGAGTTTGTCAATGAGGATGGAGTGACAGGATGAGACTGGGTCTGTTCCTTATGGATCATTAGACAGGGTTTGTAATTCTTATTTCACTGTTCATGAAAGGATCTCCAAGTGCTTAATCAACCACCTGGAGGGTGTGTGGGTGGTTGGGTGGGGACAATGCCTGCCCTGGGCTATCACTTATGCATTCTGGCCCTTGGGAATAGCTCTAATTGGCAGCAGCCTTCCCTGCTGTCCCTGGAGATTCTCTCAGTCACAGCCCAGCTACTTCTCCCTCTACTGAATGCGTTTTATGAAAATGCAGCTGGGCTTTTACTTCCAGCATATTGTTTGATAATTGGATTTGTCTTTTACTGCTGTGTCCAGGAGGGGAAACTGCGCTGGTGGGATGTCAGTGTGAAATAGAATGAAGAAAAAAATCTCTGAGAAAGCAGATCAGTTAGAAGCAGGCAGGTTGCTGGATCTGGAGGTGAGGGTAGCAGAGGAATCTATGGTAACCTCCAGGGACAGAGGAACCACAGGAGTTTTGCCTGGGATGGAATAGATGAGGATGGTACCAGAGTCCTGGGAAATCCATTCAGTCTCTTGGGTTTTTTTGCTGTTAGCAACATTCACTAGAAATGGATCTCATGGATCTCTTTCTTTGCACTGGAATTTCTTTTTCCTGGCATTGGTCAGTGTGGGGCTGATGGACAATAGTTTGAGAATAAGCTAACAGGGTTACAGATAGTCATGGAGACCAGAGCTGAAACTATGGTGGGGTGATGAGAGCTTTTCCTCAGGATGCTGAAGTTTAGAGGGGCTAATGGTATTTGTACTGCTTCAGCAGTGTTCTGTAGTCCAGGTTTAACACAAGCCAGTTCTTAAGACTCAGGATCAGAATGCAATTAGAATGAACTTGTAGACCATTTCACATTCAATAAAAGGTTTACTTAACAATAAAAGGAGATTCAATAAGGATACAACACTCATTCAGGGGGACACAGCTTTTCTGCCTTTGCATTTGTCACGGTGGCAAATGAATGTCAGAAAGATGCATTGACTTTCACTGCATTGAGGATTCCATTAAGCCTGAGGAGTTCCGACCACATCCTCATAATCTGGACTTTTTACCCTCTACGTGACCAGGAACCCATGTTAATATCTGGAATCCCAATCCCTCAATTCAATCAAGATTCAAGGATGGTTTACTTTAAAGAAAAACCAATCCAATATGTAGGAAATAAGTGTTACTTTTATAAGCAGGTAAAAACAACCACTTAACAGGGGTGGGGAATCTATGACCTTTGGGCTACATGTAGCCCTCTAGGTCCTCAAGTGTGGCCCTTTGATGGAATCCAAACTTCACATCTGTCAAAGCCAAAGGTCTGAACTTGAGGACCTAGAGGGCCACATGCAGCCTTGAAGCCCCAGTTTCCCTGCCCCTGAAGTATCTAGTTAGCTACAATAGTCCAAATTGAGTTCTGAAGCTTAGCTCTACCCTGCTGTCTCTCCAGCAGGGTCTTAAGGTTATCCCAGTGTTTTTTTTCTCTACCTCCCCTCTATGGTGCCATATTTGGGGGAGGAGGATCTAAGGTTTCTCTTTCCCCAACAACTGAATTTGTCTTTAAAAGTTGGTAACATTGAGTACTGAATAGAGTCCTGAACTTGAAATGAGGAAGACCTGAGTTCGAATCCTGCCTTAGATACTTATAAATAGTGTGTGCCGTGGCAAGTCACTTTACCTCTCTTAGCCTCAGTTTTCTCAGTTTTGCAAGATGGGAATGACAATATTACCAACCACCCAGGATTATTGTGAGGATCAAAGGAGATAATTTATGTAAATTGCTCTGTAATTCTCAAAGTGCTACATAAATGCCATTATTATTACTATCATATCTTAGGAATGACTAAGCTTAGAATTAATTTCCATTAATGTTTTCTTAAAATTTATTTATGTTTTATGAAGTGCTCCATTTATTTCTCAGTAAGAGATGAGTTATCCAAGATTGTTAGTTACAGCATGGAGAGGGACATGTCAAGGGCAAACTCAACTCAACATACATTTATTGAGTGCCTAGCACTAGGCATTATGGGGAATAATAAGGTAATAAGGGATCATCCTGGTCTTCAAGAAAAATATAATTTATTTGTTAATACAAGACCAACACACACAAAACAGTTAGGGAATAATACAAACCATTGCAAAGAAATGCAGGTTTTGCGCTGGGAAAGAAAGGACACAGCATTGGGGTCCATCTCTACCTGCTCTATCTTCACGGGGGTCTGGCCTGCTGTTAATACCATACCACCTACTAAGGGCTTGTTAATCCCCTTATTTATTCTTGGTCAAGGGCCTGAAATAACATCTCTTTTCTCTCTAGTTTAGCTAAGTCAAGTTTAGACTATTTTCTACAACAAATTTTTACTTGGAAGCTAAGAGAAAACCAGAAATCCCACAAAAGCCGAGAAACAAATAAGTACTTAGTACAGATTTCAGAACAGAACTTTTGATGTTCGCTTAACGATTAGTTTGACTAACATCGTTTATGGAGCATCCATCCAACCCTCAGTTCCTTTTTCTCACCTTTACTCTAGAGGATGTTAAATAGAGGTTCTCAAGCTTCTAGCTAGAGGTAGATTAATCTTGGCACTGATTCTGGGTCTGATGCATTCTTAGACCCTTTTCCAGAACCTCCTTCCTGGTTCTTTCCTCTAGCCCCAGGCAGTGACTGTTCCCTAGACTTCTTAATTCAGAAAGACATTTCCTTATCTGACCCCTAAAACCTCATCCTCTAGGCTTTGGGCCAATCTGCACTGGATTGATAATTGCCTTTTCAGTCCACCTTGTGGAGATGGCTCCAAGCCATGTTCTCCTTTCTAAGTGGTTTCTTTCTGACCATTTCTATTTGGACAAGTATTATCTTTCTCTGGAGCTTGTCTGAAGAATATCAGCTCCTTCCAATCACTGATTAATGACATTTGTAAATCCATCAAAAATTGGTGATGTTATCTCATCTGATCCTCACAACAGCCCTGAGAAGGAGGTCCTTTTTCTGGTCCAGATTTGTGATTTCATCAATGTAGGGAGCTCCCCCTTGAAGAAACTCCTTCCACAAGATCAGCAAATGTTTGGCGTTTTGTGGTCTGGGAGAGCTGACGTGGGGCACTGAGAAGTAAGTGGCCTGCCCAGGGCCACACAATCAGCATATATGAGAAGTAGCACTTGAATCTGGCTCTTCCTTACTCTGAGGTCAGCTTCTTTTCCACTATACAAGGCTGCCTATAGTACACAGGCATGGCAGGCATTATTGCCTCCATTTTACAGGTGAGGAAATCGAGGTTCAAACAGTCTAATTTTAAAGACTCAAAGAGTCACTTTTAGTGACTTGCCCATGGTGTTGTTCAGTTGTTTCAGTCGTGTTTGACTCTTCATGACCCCATTTGGGGTTTTCTTGGCAAAGATACTAGAGCTAATGGCTCTAAAATGGTTTGCCATTTCTTCCTCCAGCTCATTTTACAGATGAGGAAACAGAGGCAAAGAGAGTAAATAACTAGCCTGGGGTAATTGTTAGAAGCTAGATTTGAACTTGGGTCTTCCTGACTCCAGGCCTAGTACTCTGTCCAGTTGGCCACCCAGCTGCCTGTGATGACATGGCTGATAAAAGTCAGAGGCAGGAAGAGAACCCAGTTTTCCTTGACTTAACATCCAGCAAGCTATTCACTCTGTCACTGGAGAAACAGATTCTCAGTTGCTTCTTATATGAAAGGCCAAATTCCCTTCTGGGTTGTCCTCAATGTTGCTGTTTCTAGCCTGAAGGATGCCTCTAGCTCCCAGTTATTGGCAAAGCCAAGGTAAGTGCCATTTTGTCTCTAACTAGCTTGACCAATGCTAAGGCCTTTGAGGTTTGCTCCCCAAAGGAGAACAATGCACTCTTTACTGTAAGGAATTATAATTTCCTTTGGGATTCTACATATAAATGATAACCTAGATTGGGATGGTAGTGAGATTTCAGAAAAGGCCTTAATTTACTACTTAGGTATTCTCTAGCAAGTAAT